GACACTGCAAAATTTCAAATGCATAAATAATTTTATAACACATTTTTTTTAAACATACAAATAAATATTGAAAAAAATGCAATGATACTTTGAAATATGACTAAACCACTAGTAGGTGGCGGCAAATGTCTGTTTTAATGAGTGAGTCATTCATTCAACCAATTCATACAAATGGCTGATTTATTCAGAAAAGAGGCAAGTGACTGTACTTATGAAAGGCCACTGAATCATTGACTCACTCGATTCATTCAAAAACGTGGATTCATTCAGTAACGAAACACTCCCGAAAAATCTTCGTTTGAAGGGCTATCTGGCCCTTCCCCTTACCCCTACCCCTCCGACCAAAAGAGAATCGAGACACCCCTACCCCTTCACGTGAACGAGCGAAACCGAGGGGTAGGGGAAGGGGAAGGGCTAAGGGGTAGAATTGGGATTGGGCCTTGTGTCTCTCTCACACACTCACTCAGGCTGCGTAAGCCTCATCCGGAGACACACAACAGTTCTGCTGTGGCTTTGATCGGAACTATTTTCGTCAGCGAAATTGAGCAAAAACAGTCAATTATCTGTCTAAAATCCAAGTCACTTAATTTTAACTTCTAGTTTATTGAAATACTATTGTATAAAATCAGTATTACATTGCAATCGTGTTGATATTGATATTCGGGGAAACATCATGGCTGTATAATGTTGCTTACCTAAATCATATTTTGTAAATATCTCTTTTTTTTTCTACCGCAGTATGCATCTATACATTTTTGTGAGTTACTTTGGCCCAATCCCTATTTATACTCCTTCCCCTTCCCCTTCCCCTCCGCCTACCCCATTCCCCTTGTCCCTTGAAACAGAGTGTCAAGGGGTAGGGGTGAAAATATTCCCCTAAGAATTGGGGGGAAGACGTGAGACTGACCGGCCGGTCACCAATCCGGTGAGATGAGTCAGATGAGTTGAGTCTGTGTGGTCTGCTGTTCTTAACTTTTGACCGTCTACATCCTCCATTTACGTGTGCTCTGGTTCAAGTTTGATTGAATCATCTCTGTCTGGCTGCTCTTGGACAGACCTGATGAATGAGTTTTTGCTCTATTTCGCCAACAAAAATAATTCCAAGCACAGTCACAGCACTGTTTTGCGTCTCTGAGCAGCATGAGGGCGTTTCGTCCTGAATGAATCAACAGTTTAAATGATTCGGTTCAATCGCAATGACTCACTTAACAGTGACTTGCTGCCACCTACAGGCAGTTTTAATTGTTTTAATTTTACACTTAAAGTATCTTTTCATTTTTAAAATAATTTCAAATGTTAGTATTCAACATTTCATGTTTAAAATATGAAAATGTATGCATTTGTAACTGCGGGTTAAAGCATTCCATGTCCCTCTAAGCTGCATTAACGTGCAAATATATCTAAGTGCCACTTCATGTGCAACTTCTGCAAAGATTAATCTAAATGTATTATTATTATAATTGACTGATTAAATGTAAGAATTTGACTCAAAAGATGATGGACACTTTTAGAAAAAAAATGGTAAAAATGCCCATAAAAGGTCAAAATCAATTTAAACTTATTGAAAAACATTAATTTCTATCACTGCTGTGAACTGACCACACAGAAAATCATAAAAGGTAAAAATCTATTTAAACTTATTGGAAAAGATGAATTTCTATCAGTGTGAACTGATCACCACACAGAATATGAAGAATATAAAAAAATTTAGGAGTCAGCTGTCCAAGGTAGTTCTTAAGATACCAGCGCAATAACACACTCAGCAAAATATCGTCTAATTATCTTTATCGATAAAATCCCAGAAAATCTTGAGATATTATTTTTGTCAATATCGCACACCCCTAGTACTGACACAAAATGATTTGCAGCGGTCGCTTTGTCACATCCGGTGTAGACAGCCTCAAGCTGTTAGTTTATTTCTTTTTTTTTTTTTGGCTAGTAGAAGTTATGAATGGCCGGTAACTTAAAAATGTAGTAGCCAAATTGGCTGGTGAGTGAAAAAGTTAATTTCAATCCCTGTATACATGTAATATATAATTTTGGTTCTCTCTGCAGCTCTGTTCTGTAACTGCAGCAGACCACAGTGTGAGAAGGATGGGTATAAGTGCGAGACCAACGGGGCGTGTATGGCCTCCACCTCAGTCTTTGAAGGACAGGAGGAGCATGTGCGGCTCTGCATCCAGAAAGAGCATCTGATTCCTCTGAGCCAGCCGTTCCACTGCCTCAGCGTAAAGGGACTGCTGAACACTCACTGTTGCTACTCTGATTACTGCAACAGCATCGACCTCGACCTACCAACCGGTGAGCATCAGTTCTTTATATCAGCTATAATCATTATCAAAAACAGCTAGTGAATTCCAGATGAGGAACTAATGCAGCGTGTTCTCTGTCAGTGACAAACGCACCGGGTTCAGGGCAGGACTGGGGGCCGGTGGAGCTCACTGCAGTGGTGGCGGGGCCGATCTTTGTGCTGTGTGTGCTGGTTCTGCTGGGTCTCTTTCTGTTCCAGCGCCGCCAGCGGGCCTACGGTCATCGGCAGAGACTGGAGGTAGAGGATCCCAGGACTGAACACGTGTTCCTGGCCAAGGACAAGACCTTACAGAACCTCTCCACTTCAGGATCTGGGTCTGGTTAGTATTGTAAGAATTACAGAACCTCATAGACACTTTAATCTTCTGAGACGGACAATACACACAAAGTGTATTCAAATACAGACATCTGTTTCCACATCTCACTGAGAGAAAATGCGAGAAAACGTCTCTCTCACCTATGCATTTGTTCCTTCTCATCCCCTTCCTTCCCCTCACCCATCCTTCCCTCCATTCAGCTCACTCAGAATGGTCAAGTATAATATAATGTTCTAAATGAATGCAGGTGATATTTACAGTCATGTTTGGTATCATTTGAATAGTCTCAGGGCATTTGGTACAATGGTCTCATTCTTACAAGAAGTAAACTAAAAGGTGATACAGATCCTAAGAGTTTAGAGATATTTGGCTCACTATAGAGGGTGTGCTGTTTCCCAGTGTCTTTCATGCAAATTACTTTCTGTCCCAAAAGGTGTTAAATCTACTTACTCAATGCAAATTTCAATTGTTAGTTTCTGTCTCATTTTCGGGGGATGACTGTCTTGGTCTTAAGGTATTTAAGTGAAAACTGCAAGAAGATCGGGGAGATTCTGTAGCCAGAAAGACCATAGTGTGGTGTGTGTCTCTGCACTCATACTTATGACTTATATAAGTAAACTTAAACTTATACATACTATGTTTCTATTTTCCAAGGTCAGGTATGCACCTTTTACTCTTAGATTTATCTTTGAGAATTTGATGTCTTGTATTGATTTGATGTCTTTGAATTGGCTGTGTAATTGGCATAATACATATTTACCTGACTGATAATAAATTGTTACATTTGATTTTATTCTGATTTACTCTGAAATTATTTTCTCAAGTAGATTAAGTGAAGGCGTATGTTACCGCAAATCTGCGTCTAGGGTTAGTACATACTAAATCTCAGGTTAGATGGAGCAGGGGGCACATCCAGTGAGATTATAGATTTCTGACAACTGCTTGACTTTAGTTAAGTTGTTATGCAGTTGCATTAACTATGGGGGGCTAGACAAAATACTATTGGAGTACTAGCATGATTCGGGCATACTTCATAGTACTGGCCATAACCTCTGGTTATTGTCTCAGCTTTAATTAAGTTGTACGTAGTTATATTAACTATCGGGGGCTAGACAAATAGTACTAGCATAACCGATGATTATTGTTTGAGTTTTATTTAAGTTGTACAAAGCTATTTTAACTATCGGGGACTAGATAAAAATACTATTGAAATATTAACATATTTCATAGTACTAGCATAACCGCTGATTAATGTCTCAGCTTTAGTTAAGTTGTACGTAGTTATATAACTATCGGGGGCTAGGTATGTGGTACTAGCATAACCTCTGATTATTGTTTGAGCTTTAACTAAGTTGTTAAATGGGTGACTGTAGGGGGCTAAACAGAACCACTATTTAAATTAGGGATGCATCGATCCGATACTCAGTATCGGTATCGGCTCCGATATTGCCATTTTCTGTCGGATCGGTTCTGTCGAAGCCTGTCGTACTTTCTTATTGATATATTAAAAAGATTTTTAACAATGACAAAACAGGCAACATTAAGGTCCACTGAAGTGCCTTGAAAAGCGTTATTCTATGTGGTGTGTGCTGCGGCTGCCTAATCATTTTCACAAATACATGCCGCAAAATAAAAAGATAACATGAAAATATGAATATAAAATACCAAAAAACATGGTTATTGGTTACTATAGTTAAACCATGGTAAAAACAACATGTTTTGCTACACTAACCATAGTTTAACCATGGTATTTGTAGTAAAACTGTGGTTATAGGCTACAATTGGTAATAAAAACGCCCCCCCAAAAAAACATGGTTAGCCTACTATACTTTTACTATAGTAATACCATTGCTAATTTTCGTACGGGATTGTGTATAATAATATGAAATACGTTTTTTAATAGATTATGACATCACAAAATATCAGGGAGTGAGATTTATTTGACTGTGATGCGAAGGAGGGTTAATGTAAGCCCCATCAGAACTGGGGTGCGGTGCAGGGGGACGAGACTAACGACAGATCATTGCAGGGTAAGTAGTGTAGCCTATCTGTGCTACCCGCTCAGTGTTACCTCCGGTAGTCCGTCTGTTTATCAGTTATATATATCTTCAGATCAGGTTTTTTAACTTATGAGAGGTACAGAATGCCACACAGCAACTTTTCGGCATTGCATCAAGCAAAAATCAATCGAAATCATCACAAAAAGTAAAGATCAAGCGCCTAACAAGGTCTCCCCGCGTTAATTCGAATGGTTTGTTTTCCCCCACTGCATAAATGGTTATGACGTTTTTGTGGGCATTCCCAGCAATGCCGAACAAGTCTATGGTGCAGCGAGTGTTACTACAGTAAATCCATAGTAAATGATGGCGATTTGTAGATTGAAAAGCCTTCTGTCTCGTTGCACACAGTGTTTCTCCTGTTTGGCTTTAAACTAGTTTAACTCACTGAGTCATTTGTGTTCATCGCTGAGTTCAAGTGCTTCACACTGGCTCTCACAGCGCTGCTTAATGCTCGTGTGACCGAGTGAACGCATCTGCTCTAGTGAGAGTTTGAACTTTGATCCAAGCGGATAAACGGTCCATGTGGCGCGATTCAAATGAGTCGCGCTGTTTCGTTCCGCTTTTTTCGCATAAACATTATATCGAACATTTATCGAACTCTTCATATCGTTTTATCGAGGAAAATCATATCGCGATAATTATCGTTATCGAATTATCGCCCAGCCCTAGTTCTATCTATCATATGTTGCTGCCAATCTGCGTGTTGTGTTCGGTTACGACAGTCAAGGCGATGAAACTCTTCAAGAGCACACAATAACTGAGATTTAAAACTGTATTTAGGCTGCTTGTTTTTTATTAATGTATTTTACAACAATACAAAGAGCATACACAAGAGTGTAACATTTTACCAGATTTAGTCCTACACTTATTATCTTTTATTTGTTCCCCACTAAGTAATTTTGTTTCCCTAAATGTTTAGTTTAGTTACATTTTTTTATAAAATTATTGTGCACCCATGATTTTTATAGAATAACTTTTGCAGCTGAATTATCCACTAACCTAGTTTTATAATAGTATTTTTTGTCATATTTGTTATTATTTGTCATTTATGTTATTTTTCATTAAAATGAAGTTGTCTATATTTAGCAGATTGTGTTTAACATGTACAAGAGTGATGATCAGGTCAACCCTCAGAAGTATAGAAATTCTACATTGATAAAAAAAAAACTGTGCTGGGATCGGATTGAAATTGGCCGATACTCAGAATTTCTGGTATCGGATCGGATCGGTTCTGAAAAAATGGTATCGTTGCATCCCTAATTTTAATAATGGTAAGCATGGGCGACCTATTAAATAGTTAGTCATAACCTCTGACTAAAGATCAGACTAACAACCTAAATTCGAGGTCATAATAAAATGGAGTCAGATTAGAGTTTAACTTAAATTAAATAATTTTGCGCACTGAAAAGACCGAATATGCAAGAAACCTTCAGCCACCACTGGATACCTTCCTTGGGCCAAGTGCGTGGACCTTACAAAATGGTGACCCCGACATGATCAAAAGGGTCTGGCTGCAGCCTTGCGCTTGCACTCTCAGACGTGCATTCTCAGGCTTGCACTCTAACACGCACGATTTGTGTCGATTGCAAGTGACGTCGCAGGTGTCGGAGAGTGCAAGTGGCGATTGCAAGTGACACTGTAATTTAGTTTATTTTTTCTTGTCTTCACCACCTGGCTACTGTTGTAAAATGTTGAGAGATTCAAACAAAAAGTAATCAATAAATAGAACAAAGTAAAAAATAAAAAAGACTGCAAGTGACGTCGCTAGCGGAAGTGCAAGTGTCTGAGAGTGAAAGCTTGAGAGTGCAAGCGCAAGGCTGCAGCCAGACCCTTCTCGACATGATCTCCTAAGCAGGCGAGTGACGTCTTTCGGCACAATATGGATTTGTACCGACCCTGCATGAGTTTTACGACCGCAGCTGGTTGCATAGGGGTTCCTCAGTTTGTCTCAATGGAATGTGATTGTTTCATGTGTGACTCAATAGTGTAAGTGGGTCCTTTCGAGATCCTACAGGCGAGTGACGTTTTTCAGCGCAATATGGATTTGCACCGAACAAAGGGTTTGATCATCTCCTTCTCTTTCTCCAGCTGCTGTGGTAAGTCAATTCTTATTTGCCTTTTAGAAATATTGAGGGAAAGACAGACGCATCCCATACATACACATTTGTAGAATGAGTCGGGATACTCATATTGTTAGACCGGATCCGACGAAACCACATACTTGTCAGGGACATGATAGAGGCAGCGTAGACGAGGAATGACATCCCTTGTTCTGAAATGGAAATATCTCTGTTTGCCTAAGCAACAAGAGATGAAACTTAAAATTGGAATACCATCATCCAAATTATATTCTGGTACTCAACAGAGAGTCATAAATTAGAACCTAAAGTTTTAATCTGCAAACTGCCTTCTTTATTGTTTTATTTGCTTCATTGCAACAAATGAGCAACATTTTAAAGGGGTCCTATTATGCTCTTTTACAATGTCTTGATTTTGTTTTGGGGGTGTACTAGAACATGCTCTTATGCTTGGTGGTTTGAAAATCACATTATTTTTCACATAATTTACATTACTACAATACATTTCTCCCCAGCCTGGCACAAACGGCTCGATTAGTTCCGGGTTTGATGAAGGCCCGCCTTCTGAAAAACTAAATGTGATGTGATTGGTTAGCTGTCCCAGTGTGTTGCGATTAGCTTAGACGGTGTTTCTGTACTGCCCCGCCCCTTGCCAAAGCAGCAAGTTCCGTCTGCTCACGGAATCATAAATTACTCGCCCTCAAGTCATCCTAGGTGTATATGACTTTCTTCTTTCAGACGAATCCAGTCGGAGTTATATTAAAAATTATCTTTGATCTTTCAAGCTGTTTAATGCCACTCAGCGGGTGTTGCATGCATCAGTCCAAAAGAAGTTAAATAAAAAGCACCCATCCTTAATAAAAAGTGTCTCACACAGCTCCGGGAGGTGAACAAAGTCCTCCTGTAGCGAATAGATGTGTTTTGTAAGAAAAATAACCATATTTAAAATGTATTAATCCATTTAATCTAGCACGATTCCCCACACCAGCGCGGCAAACAGTGGGAACGGGTCTTTCTTGGGCTGCAGGATGAAGCCTTTTTCCACGGCCAGTCGAGACAAAGCAAAGAGAATCCTGGAGAGCAGGTACATGTTTATCTGGGGAACAGACCAAAATGACAGAAATATACCAATACTGGTGAACAGTTGATGATTACAATGATCATTTATCAATTATAAGGGTCATTCTATTTTGCCGATTTCTTATTATTATCAAGGTGTAGAATATTAATATATAAATACATAATTAAATATATGCATATGTAAGCATTGCTGTTGTAATTTTGCCCGTGTCTGAAATGAGTCATACTGAAAATTGGAATACCATCATCCAAATTATATTCTGGTACTCAACAGAGAGTCATAAATTAGAACCTAAAGTTTTAATCTGCAAACTGCCTTCTTTATTGTTTTATTTGCTTCATTGCAACAAATGAGCAACATTTTAAAGGGGTCCTATTATGCTCTTTTACAATGTCTTGATTTTGTTTTGGGGGTGTACTAGAACATGCTCTTATGCTTGGTGGTTTGAAAATCACATTATTTCTATTATGCCGATTTCTTATTATTATCAAGGTGTAGAATATTAATATATAAATACATAATTAAATATATGCATATGTAAGCATTGCTGTTGTAATTTTGCCCGTGTCTGAAATGAGTCATACTGACATTACCTGAGAACTTAAAGTAAAGTTTACCTATCAGTCAGATGCACGTTAAAGTTGTTCCCCACTATAGCAGCAAAACATTCATTATATATATTCATTATATATATTTATATTTATATTCATTTCATACACACAGCGGTGGCCAAAATTATTAGAACACTTGTATTTTCACCAGCTAAAAAATGGTTTTAATCTTTTGCTGTGGTGTGTCAGTAGGAAATATCAGTTTACATTTCCAAACATAAATTTTGTCATTAATTGTAATAATCCAGTGAGATTTGTGTCTGACAGCAGCCAGTGCTTCACACAGAGATCTGATCTGATCATCATCAGTCTGTCTGGAATGACATGAAGAAACAGAACAAACTGAGACTCAATCCAGATGAACTGTGGCATTGTCTCCAAGACGCTTCAAGAAACTCACCTGCAAAGCTCCCTGAGAAACTCTGCTCTAGTGCACCGAGGGCAAAAGCTGCTTTAAACACAAACCCTTCCCATTTTACAGGAAATAATCTGGAGTGCGGCGAGTGACGTGAGGCTCTCCTCTGCGTGGTGCAGGGTCAAACTGTAAACTAAAGGAAATCATCCTGTTAATATTCATAACAGCAAAATTACAGATATATAACACAGGGAAAGGGGAGTTATCAATAAAACAGAAATTGTTTTATGCTTTGTCATATACGTACAAGGAGTACTTGAATGTGTCATCAAGTTCCATGATCGCAGCCTGGTTACCACATCGGTAGCAATAATTAGGTGCACTGAAGATTGTTACAACATTACGTTCATGACACCAGTTATAACCCTGTAGAAATTATTGAAAAATATATATTAGCCAATACCCAATCAACGGTCGGTAGGTGTATTATTATCCATGTGTTACAAATTCAAAAACAAAAGTTATTTGAATATTTTTAGAATTTTGTGCAGTTTCAAATTTCTATTACATAGTTTGTTTCAAATATGCAACATTTTTTCATGTTACAGTTTAAATTACTCATGAAACAAACAACATTTAACATCTTCAAAAAAAAAAAGGTATACGATAACATAATTATATACATTTACCTTTCAGATGATTATCTTTTTTTGGGACTCTGCCTTGTCTGTTGGTTATTCAATTATTCAACTAAATTGTCAAAATAAAATTGTTAACATTAAAGCTGCAAGCAGTGATATACAGTATATATATATATATATATGTGTGTGTGTGTGTGTATGTATATATATATATATATATATATATATATATATATATATATATATATATATATATATATATATATATATATATATATATATATATATATATATATATATATATATATATATATATATATATATATATATATATATGTGTGTGTTTGTGTGTGTGTGTGTGTGTGTAAATATATTTATTTATTGTGTAATTTACACCCTGTGTGTGAGTGCTCTATATATACATATGCATGATGAATGAGAGATGTTGATGATAGCACTATGAACAGAGTAAAGTTAAGTCTCTCTTAAACTGCCTCTTTGTTATAAGTGAAAGGTAACTAAATGACAGAATTTATTAATTGACATCTCTATAGACTAAATGTCCATTTTTCGTTAGTTATGAAAGTGCCTATTGTAATGTTGTTGGTTTACATAATGAAAATTGTGCAATAATTGCTCTTTTGTCCCCATCAATGTCAACATTAAACCTACGCCCCTGATATTATCAATGTTGACAACTTACTGTGAAAACTGTGACACACTGCCATTTGGATAGTTTAAAAGGGTAAGTAAATATAATGTCACAAAATATTTCTATTTAACTTTCCATTCATTCAAGAATTCTGAAAAATAAAATGTATCACAGTTTCCACAAAAATATTCAGCAGCATGACTGTTCTCAACATTGATAATAATCAGAAATGTTTCTCGAGAAGCAAGTCAGCAAATGATAAAAATTACATTATGAGCTCAAGATTTTATTACATTTTGAGAAAATTATGACATTATGAACTTTTTTTTTTACAATAATAATGTAATACTTATTACATTATGTGCAGTTTTTACATTATGAGTTGCTACATGGGTACAAAACATATACAATGCAAAAAAAGAAGCACTAGTCATCTCAGATTTTGGACCCCACTGTAAGTGTATACAAATAAACACTATATTAAAAGAAACATGTAAATCATCTTATTTTTTCCACATTAGATTAACCGAATATCAACAAGTAGCAGTAGCTATAGCTATTTTATGTGACATGGAGTTTTCTGAGAGTTCAAAGTTCACTTCACCTGCCACTTCTGAACAGAAACGTCATCACTAGGGCGCGAGGGGCACGAATTTTAGCCCCATATCTGGGAAGAAAAAAGAAACAAAGTAAGCAAAATGAGACCCTCTTCATATGAACAGTATATAATTACATAATTTCAGTTAGTCGAATGTCTAAAACTAGCAATATGCAAATCTATTACTGTAAGTTTAATAAATATAACACTCATAAGGGGGGGGGGGATATATATATATCATTTTAATACGCAAAATGAAATATAATTAAAAGTGCTGCATGTGTAACGTTAAATGCATTTATTGCCAAACATGCATACAAACGCCGTTTAACGGTTCAAACTCACACAGCTCCATTCCTGAAGCCTCTGACGACTGCCAGAGCAGTTTTATATTTGTGTTGTTGCAGGAGATTGTTAAGCGTGTATAATAACGCTCTGACGAGATCTGAGGCTGCCATGACTCTCACGCGCGTGCGGCACTCCACACGGAAACATTCCTGCTCACAACAACTGTTCCGCTTAAAACGTCCGGAAAGATTACAACTTTTAATACTGTGTCTAGGTAGGATTATTAAAGTGTTAATAAATTAAATCTGAGAAGGAGTTTATGAGGTTTTGTATTCACATCTCCAGCTGTCATTACTGATGTTCAGCACGAGAGGGCGCTGCTGCACGGCTAATGCTTCAGTCACACCTGTCGGTCATTCCTCACTCACTTTACCTCATTTAATCACTTTTAACTGTAGGTCTATGTTTTTATGCTAACAGATATATTTAATTGACAATTTAAGTTTGACGTGAATTATGAAATGAATGCATCATTTAATCAAACTAATTGCTATTTGACTTAGACCAGATAAAGTATTTGTGTTTATTGTTTGAATAAGTTTGAATCTATCTGTTTATATGTATATATCTGTATAGAGTGCTGGGCAGTTTCTAGTAACTAGTTACAGTAATAATATTACTTTATGCAGTATCTAGTAGTGTAACTAAATACTAGTAAGATTTCAGTAATAATATTAAAGTTACTATCCATAAAACATTTTGTTACTTAGTTACTTTTGACGTCTCAACCCATACTGATTTGAAATCCAACAATCTAATAGTTCCTAGATTTTACTGATTGCAAGTTACATGACAAAAACTGTAGATAGCAACGTAGTTTATTACATTACACATTTTAGGTTATGTAATCAGACTACTTTTAGATTACTTTTGATCTCGTTTCTCACATTGATTTAAATAGGATCATCTTGTACCATATTAATATAAAAATGCAAAGAGTTAGAAAATATATTCCATTGAATATTTCACATGAAGCATTATTAGCCTCTCTCAAACTGGGTTTTTGAAGGAACTGCAGGGGGTTTATGAGTTTAATGAAAAGCTAATAATTAATTAAATCATTCAAAATAATAATAATTTTAAAACGAATAAAATAAAACACTGAAAAAATTAAATCTTTTATTTGTTTATCTGCATGTCATGTGACCATATCCAACAGTCAGAGAACCATGAACATGCAAATGTGATACTGCATCATTAAAATATTTATTTTAAAATCTCAGGGCTACTTCAAATAAAAATAAATACATTAGGTGAAAGAGGATCAGATGACAAAAAGAGTGAAGGAATCTGTGAATTTGTGCATTTTAATGTGTTTGAAATGGTCAAATGCTGTGCATCCACCTGACTACTGACTGATCTCTGTGTGAATGTCCACAAAACTGGAAGACTTTATCTTTTAGACTGTATATGCGGTAGGCTATTATAGAAAGGAACATTTAAAAGATGAAAAAGAGGAATTAGAGAGAATCAATGAATTATGAATAAATTATTGCTGTTGTGTGGGCTAAATAATATATAATCATGTAATCCATAAAAAAATAACTAGTCTTATTACGCGTATTTTAAAATGTAATTTAATCTAATTACAAGCACTTCATTTTTGGAATCTGATTAGCCACGAAATCAGTAGCTCTGTTAATCAGCGCTGAGCGTTTGTAATGACTTCTGGCTGCGATCAAATGTGGATTTCGGTCAAATGATGAGGCAGAAATATATTGTTAGTAATAACATTTTAGATTTTGTGGGGAAGATACGCAATTACAACTTCTGTGGGGCCTGAAAGAAAAGCAATGCAACTAGAAGTGTAACTAATTACTGTTGAAAGCAACCAGAAAGTAACTAGTAACGTAAAGTAACTAATGATATTTGCGCGTGCCCCATGCGCGCGCACTCGCGTAGTCATTGCGCGTTCGCGACAGCGGCGGTCACGCGCATTCTCAGTGCGATGGGAGTCCTGTGAGGATGAACACACGGCGAATCCTGCGACTCTTGACCGTTTTATCAGGACTGAACGGAGCGTGTGAAGGTGAGTATGAAGTGTTTGTTCATTCCAGCAGTGTTTTGTTGACATCCGTGGGTCGGTTTGCTTCGTTTAAGGTGTTTTAGTCGCTGAACGTTTGGCGTTTAATACAACAACAACATGGCGCTGGGATTTAACGACTGGCCTCATAAACTCTCTGCCTTTATCTCTTTCTCTTCAAACGTGAACGTGTGATGTGCTTCAAATTATGTTTTATATATGTGCTGTTTAAATAACAATAATAAAGCAGGATGACTCCGTTTATGATAGAAACTCAAAAGGTGCGGGCTAGCATGCTAGCAGGCTAACATAGTTAATATGTTGCTGTAGATTCGGATAAAAACTTCAGAAAAACTCAAATGAGCTCGTGTGATCAAATGCAATGTATTTACGTTTATATGAGTCAGAATATGGTTGTTTAATGACGGAGTTAAAAGCGTTCGTACACATAACTTTACACACGAATTGTCATATTTGACATTCAAACGGGTTTAATTCTGTTTAAAAGCTGTTTTTACTGATCCGCTGAACATTTGCTGTATACTTTTCCTTGTCTTTGTGCACGTTTGTAATTTTTGTTTTTCAATTTAGGACGTAATATGAAACGCTTACAATTTACATGATCACAGTATCAGTTACAGTAAGCAAATACAGGTAACGTTACAGTAAACAAAACAGTTACAGTAAGCAAATACAGGTAATGTTACAGTAAACAAAACAGTTACAGTAAGCAAATACAGGTAACGTTACAGTAAACAAAACAGTTACAGTAAGCAAATACAGGTAACGTTACAGTAAACAAAAATGGCTTTATTTGGATCCTGGCGGACTGGTTTATTTAAACTTGTTTGTTTGATTTTTTACAGTCAAAGTAGCTTATATAAACACATCTATGGTGGTTGACCTGTTGCACATTAACAAAGGTGTAAGTTCCTCCAAATGTTTATTATTGTTTGTTTGTTATTAATGATCGGTTTACGTGTTTTATTTAGCCAAGTAGAGAGGAGCTCTCAGTTCACTGTAAGTTCAGTGGAAAATCAAGTAAATGGTTTATGACATGTTAATATCAGGACTGAAGGAAGGTGTGTGGTCTGCAGATTGAAGCTTTCCTTTTGAGTGATGATATGGTTTTGAGTAACAATAACCTCTGAGGTTATGATAATTGTTGGGTGTTGTGTGGGTTAAATCTCAGTTCTTTGTAAAGAAGGGACAAAATAAGGACATGACCGAACAGTGACCCCATTTCTCTTATATATGTCTGTCTGACTCTTTCTCTCTGCCGCATATAGAAATACAGCGCGTCTTTGTCCATGTCTGGTTAGATATGGGGTAGCCAGGGGGTTTTCTTTATTACTGTTAAGGTTTCTTCTTAACCCACTGTAAAAAGCCCTTAATGTTTTCTGCATATTAAAGGCTTGACAGGCTTGGACATGCAGACTAGTTTCAGAGCTCTGCATTTCCCCTCAAGGTTCAATAAAGTGCATCTATCTGTCTGTTGATCAACATGCCTGTCTAGGAAAGAATTAGTTCATTGTTTTCTCTAAAGATCTTTAAAAGCATAATACTTTAAAATTATTTATGTATTTAAATGCTTTAAAATGTATGATGATAATGCTGATACTTGGCAGTCTAAAGCCCTATTCGCACGGGATTAGTATTACCTGGTGACCTCCAGTCATTTGTAATAATTGCGGAGGTTGTCTGTGATCTTAATCCTGTGCGAATCGGCCATGTCTGTAATTTGTAATGTAAAAAT